AGAGGATCATCCACAAGAGGCCTTCAGGTTATCACCCTGCCCACTTCCTGTCATCTCTCTGCTTCCCAGCCAGGAGCCTGGTGGCCAGACATAGACCCCAGGCCCCCTCTTCCCTGTCCCCAGCACAATTCCCTCACCTGTAGCTTCTGCTCACTGACAAAGTATGCACAAAGCAGCGAGCCAGCAAGCAGCCCAAGTCCAATCACCAGGTTCTGAGTCTGATTTAGTAAAACCAGTGACGCGCTTGACTTCCACTCCAAACCCTGTGGAAATAACATGGGAGAGAGGAATGTCACATATGCGCTGACCATCACCAAATCCAAACCTGGGCCCAGGCACCTTCAACCTCACAGCCCAAATTTTATTCTTTTTGGCTCTGGTAATTCCACAAGGCCAGGCCATTGCTGTCAGTAGGCCTCAAACTAGCGTGCTCACCTGATATTTAATGATGGCTTCTCGATAACGTTCCACTTCATAACCTTCTGCATTGTAATACTTCACCTGATGAATTCAAAGCACCATTTGACATGGCTGCAGCATTCAGCACCTGGATCATTGCTTCCAGATCCCCAATCCCTCCTTCCTAATTTTAAATAGCACATCTTGCACCCCCCAGCTCCTCAGCAGCCTTGGTGGTCCCAGGCACAAACCTCCATATTTCCATGCTTCACACCACTGCCACTAAGGCCTCTGTTACCGTTTCAAAGTTTAGCAAAGAGTCCACGGCTCGTGCCCGAGTAGCATTTTCCTGTGTGTTCATATCACGTCGAAACTTTGTTCTCCACTCAGTGACCACGATGGTTAGGGCTATAGCATGAAAGGAGGAGGGAAAAGGAGAAGAGATCAAGACATTTTCAACAGCAGAAACCACATGTGTATGTCTGATGCCTACTACACACTAACCCTACGTTACAGCCCAGGGACCCAGGTTCTAAAGAGAGAACATCCTAAGCTCCCTGAGGGAAGAGGCTGTGTCCAAGATATCTTTGCAGCCTGTACAAAGCCTCATCTGTGAAAATGCTTTTGATGAGCAAATCAAGGCAAGCTGCATCTGTGACAGAGTGAGCTTCCTCCTTGACTCGTATCCACAATGGGACCTAATGTGACCACAAGCCCTGGACCTCCACACAGGTTAAGCTAAAGTTTCCATGGCTGAGGAGTATGCCCATCCACCATTATTGGGGAGCTGAGGAGACTATTCAAGTCCACTAATCTATAGTCTTCCAAACTGGGTCACCCAAGTGGGGTCAGAGCTCATGCTCAAGGGAGTCCTTGGAGAGTTCAGGGAGCTGGTTTCACCAAGCAGCACGCACTGAGGTAAAGACTCATGCACAGGAACACGATGAGGCCAAACCAGGCATTGAAGAACATGCTGAAGTAGATGATGCCAATGATGATGTCAGCCAGTGTGGGGAGAATGTTGAATATCAGGTAGCTGGGAGGGGAAGTCAAGTGACAAAGAAAAATATAAGGACTCAGAGCCAGCAACTCTACCTCTAGCAGTTTCAGTGTGGTTTTTTGTTTTCAACAGCAACAGACTGCAATCAAGCTAAATGCCCCTCAGGAGATGGATGGCTAAAGTAAACACAGCATGCCAAACTACAGAATGCTCTGGGTCTATCATAATGAAAGAGGGAGATCTTCATGCTCCAATGAGAATATATCTCCGTAACATTTTGTTAATCAACTGTGAGGCCCTAGTGGTCTGGCTCAGTGGATAGAGTGTCACCTGAGGACTGAAGGGTCCTGGGTTCGATTACAGTCAAGGACACATGCCCAAGTTGTGGGCTTGATCCCAAGTAGGGGGCATGCAGGAGGTAGCCAATCAATGATTCTCTCTCATTGATGTTTCCATCTCTCTCTCCCTCTCCCTTCCTCTCTGAAGTCAATAAAAAATATATTTAAAAAGTAAAAAAAAATAATGCAACTCTGAGGATGATGCCTATATTGTGATACCATTTGTTTTAGGAAAAACCTTCACAATACCACTTTAGTTCTGGGAGTCTGCACATATACATGTAAAAATGCCAAGAAGCAGAACTCAACATACTAAATGCAGTGGAAACCTCTGAAGAAGTGAGTAGAATTCAAAAGAGATATGCTCTCAATCTACTTTAAGTTATTACAGAGCATATGTACATTAACCTTATTAGAAAAAGAGGGCGAAGGGGCAGCTCCTCAAGCTGGGTCTGTTCTCAGGCCCCCCTGCTTTTCCTGCCCCACCCCCTCACACTCCTTTCCATGGGCTTGGTACCTGAGCAGCCCAGTGACACTGGCTGTGCCCCGGTCAACGACTCGCAGCACCTCCCCTGTTCGGCGCCCCAGGTGCCAGCGCAGTGAGAGCTCATGCAGGTGGGAGAAGAGGCGCAGCTCCATCCCCCGAGCTGTGAACTGCTGCACCCTGATCCACAGGAATGTGCGAAGGTTGCTCACAAAGCCTGAGGAGGATTCAGTAGGGCTAAGGGGACAATTGACATCAGCCCAGCACCCAGATGTGAAAGGTCAGAAAGCACCAAAGAGTCCAGGGGAGGCATGCCTGTGGGAGGGAACTATGGGGAGGAGAAGAAGGGGCCAGTACCAACCAGGGTGAGAGTCCCCCATACCTGTACTGCCAGTGCCACCGCCCTGGAGGAACTTGAGGAAGACATAGGTGGTAACAGTCCAGGCCAGGGAGTGCCAAGGTGCCTTCTCAGTCAGCAAGTTTACTATGGAGAAAATGAGTCTAAGCCCACTGATGGCCCCCTAGTCCCCTCTTCAGGAGAGACTGCCCCAGGCACCAGCCATAGCCTTTTTCTGACCACCCAGCTCTCAACTCTGTCGCACTGCCCTGGGTTGACCGCCCCTCCCCCCCCAACCAGTCCAATGAAGGACCAGAGTGCTAAGCTGGCACCCCTCTCCCTCACCTATATCCCTATAGAAGATGGGCACCAACACATTCAGTCCCCGGTCCAACCCCATGAGCCCCAGGCAGATGACCACAACAAGTTGCAGAGCTGGATTTCCCCGAGGCCACAGGTAGCCACCCAGTAGCCGGAGCTTCCTGCCAAAGTCTCGCCAGGTAGATGCTGGTAGCCCCTCTGTTGACTGAACCTAGGATGGTGAAACATAGAGGGAAGCTTAGAAATCATAAAGAAGTGCACTAGCCAGAAACCTTCTAGGAAAAATGTATGGGAGTGCAGATCCCAGGCATTTTAGACCCACAAGTAAGCCCCGATGGGGTCAGAAAGGCTAACAGGGCACAATGTGAGATTTGGGTAAGAAACAGTTTATTGTGGTAGGAAAAAATGATGCCAAGAAATGAAGTTAAGACAGACCCTAAGGTTCAAAAGTTGAGGTGTACCTGGCTCCTTTCTACATCCTGATCGTCTTCATTGACCCGAAATGTGTAGGACTGGGGACGAAGTCCTGGAGCCCAGAGCCCCAGGACAAAAAGCCCTCCAGAGACCACATAGCGCAGCACCCACAGGCTAAACTGTACCTAGAATGAAACATGTGAGGAGAGTATCAAATAGGGCCAAATCCCATTGTTACTACTAATAACAGGGTTGGGGATTGGTAGGGCATGCACCCTGGTTCCTCCTCGGGGCCCAGCATCTAATGGGCTGGGAAAAAATCCACAATGACTCAGCACAGACACGCCCTACCAGCTGGCTATCAGCTCCCAGCCAGCGTCAGCCCCTCCCTCTTCCCTTAAGAGTCACCCCAAAGCGTGGAGCCAGTATGACCAGACTTGACATCCTTCTTCCCAACCCCTGCCACCCATGCTTCCACTCTCCCATGAGGTCCCTCACCTGCTGGCCCAAGTCCGCCCTTGCCCACCACCACTGTGGGCTGTTCCAAGACACCAGGGCCAAGTTCTCGGCTGCAAAAGCCACAGTCCAGAGGAGCAGGAGACCGGGGCTGTGACTGAATTTGATCCAGGCGCCCATTGCTAGCTTCTGCCGCGCCTGGCTCCGTTCCACAACGAGCAGTCCCAAGCCACAGGCGCCGGCCAGGGTGCCCAGTATGGAAGCCAGCAGCAGGTAACCTGGCAGCGGGGCCCTCCGCGCAGTGCCCACTCGACCAACCAGGCTGGCCAGGGGCAAGGCCACCTGAAGTGTGGCCAGAAGCAGCTGCAGCACGTAGGGAGCGACACGAGGACCGGCCCCCCAAGACAGCGCGTCGGCGACTGCTGGCCGCTCCCGACGCTTGCAGGGAAGGGCCAGCACCAAGGCCAGAGTCCCCAGGGCCATCAGCACCGAGGGCGTGAGGGTGAAGAAGAAGCAGGGGCTCAGGCCACCCTGCGCCCAGGCCGGACCCGCGGGCCCTTCGGCCTCGCAGTAGTTGCCCACAGTCACCATGGCAATGCGGGGCCGCAGGCCGAGGCTGCGGGGGCTGCGGGACAGGCGAACGGGGCCAGCCGCTTGGGGAGGGGCGCGGATGCCGGGCGACCTCGGGTCATGGAGCCGCGGGGGTCGCTGTCAGGGATGCACGTGGACCCAGCCACACCGCCCACTCGCTCGGCGCGTGCGCCGCCGCCACGCACTCGGCGCACTCACGCAGGGCACGTCCGCCGCCTCTCCCGGCCGCCCCTCGCTCGCTGGGACCCCGGGCTGAGTCCGCTCCACACGGACGTGGTGTCGACTCGAGCCGCATTCTTTTGCAGCAGCTCCGCCCACCGTAACCGCCCAGTCCCTTCCCAGTCATTGGCGATGTGTCACCGAAGGGGCGGGGGGAAGGGGTGCTGGGGAAGGCGAAACAAACCAGCGGAGTCAGCTCGGTCACGTGCTCAGAGCGGGAAATCTGACCGCCCATCCGGCTGGAGACCTTGACCTCCAAGGAGCCTTGGATCGGAAACGGCCCTTTTGCTAAGCCCGCTGGCTCGGTATGTCCGCCACCGCCTTTAGGCCCACTTTCCTACAGGGCCTGTCCCGGTCCCCAGCCACCTGTAGGGACCCCATGTACCCCACTCCGCTTGTTCCCCGAACCCTAGCCGTGGAGACAACATGGCCGCGACCTGGTCAAAGTCCCTTCTTTATTAAGGGTAATGAAGCTGTACACAGTCACCACTGCGTCCCGCGGCGAGTTCAGGCAGCGCAACTCACCACTCCCCGCAGCGGACCGGAGCCGAGGGTGGGGCTGAGGGTAAGAGCTGGGTCCCAGCATGCAATGCGGCAGCCCAAAGCCTAGGGCGAAGCCATCCTGCCGCCCCTCTGTCCCCCTCTAGGGGACAACAGGAGGCAGGTCAGAGCTCTCTTGCTGGGAGGTAGACGGACCAGGGCATACTCCAACCCCGTCCCTTGTGCAGGAGGTGGGAGGGATGGGGGTACAATAAGCAGTAATGGGGGCCAGGAAGGCCTCAGTCTCCCAGGAGCCATCTGAAAAATTGGACAGGGCAGCAAAAAATTTCCATCCTGCTCCTGTAATTTAGAAACCATCCTTAGTGTCAAAAGATAGCGTGAGAGGAGCTGGGAGCTAGGGCCTCTACGCCAACGCAAGTCAAAAGTTGAACAGGAGGGCAACAAGCGAACAGAACCAGAGCAAGCAGCTCACATGCCAGTGATGTGCAGGGAGGGAGGGGTGAGCAGGCTGTAGCACTGGGAGAACTGGGGGTGAGGTAAGGGCCACAGCCTGAGCTGCTCATCTGTTCAGGGTGGGGAGAGGGAGGCCACAGAGGTTGAGGGTCCAGGCCCAACCTCCCCACTCCACAGTTGGCACAGGTTCTCCCTGGTTGGCAGCTTCTGTGGTGGGCAGTCCTCTGGAAACTCGTAGGGGTAGGTGCAAAGGTGGCAGTATTGGGGCTGGGCTGGGGACCAGTTGCTAGCACCACACTCCGAGCCAAGTGGGTTCCTGGGGATGAGGCTAGAGTCCTGTGTGCCCTGGTCCTAGGCCCCCAATTTCTCTCCTGGGGCTGTGGTGAGCCTAGTATTGGCACCTCTCTTGGCCAGGCACGGACACACAAACACCATACGCGTGGAGCCAGGCAACACTCAGAGAAGCCCTCCATGGCAGGTGGATGGGATGGCAGGGCAACAGATGCCTGCATCCTGGGGCATAGGGACCCTCCTCAGCCTTGTCTAGACCTGTGGAGAGAAGAGGGTTGGTAGCAGAGATAGTCTTCAGCTATCTGCTGCTTACCTAAAAGAAGCTGGAGATAAAAGGAAAAGCTTGATCCTTGGGGAGGTAAGCAAAGGAAAAATCAAGGCCTGTATTTCAGAGCAGGTGAGGAAAGAAAGGGGAGTGTATTTTGGGTGAAAGGGTGCAGAATCTCTGCTTGAGAGGCCCAACTTCCTTCACGTGAGCTTTGACCTCAGCCTGGAAGTTGCTATTTCTGGCCATTGTTAACAAGTCCTGGAGCCCTTACCTTGTGCACCTGAGGGGGAAGCTCATCCTCAGAGCCCTCCTCGGGCACGGGCTCTGGGTGCCTTGATGCTGACTGTCCATCTTCAGCCCACCCGCCAAGGGGCAGCCGAGAGAAGTGAGAGGGAGCCCGGGGCACTGTGCCAGGATCTAGAGACACAAGTAAACATACTCTTAGAACGAATACAAACAGGAATGAGGGAAAGGGTTGCCCTGTGTGGGGACAGAGAGGGGTTATTCTCCTTGGCCTGGTCCCTCTCACTTCTTTCTTCACCAAGAGGGATGCGAAGAAAGGCTGTGTCCTCCTGAATGCCCACTGGATACCTGTGATGCCACCGTAGCGCCTCTGGAAGCCCCCTTGCAGGGCAGTGGTCTCTGGTGCTCCAGGCCGGGGTACAGCAGCACAGGGATAGCTGGCAGAGCGGGGGATAGATTGGAGGTGCCGGACACCTTCTCCCCCCTCTTCAGGAGCACTCTCCCCACTGTCATCACTCTCCCGGCGGTGCCACACATGCCTCTCAGGTTCAGCCTGGGCCTGCTGCTTGTGGAGCTGAGAAGTGGGGGGCTCATTAGTTGGGAACAGAAGGGTATCTGTCTGAAACAGCTGCTCCCCACCATGGTATCAGCCAGTTCCCATTTATACCATCTCACCTAGAATCACTGACCAGAGTATCTATTGTGTTAATAGTGTGTAACATACATACAATGTTTTACAGGTTAAATTCTTAGCAGACCCCTGGTTTAAGAACAAACTATGGATCTAAGTGCCAGGCACTCTTTTAGGTGCTGGGGATATAGCAGTGAAAAACAGATCAAAATCCAAGCCCCTTTCGGGCTTATATACTTAGGAGGGAGGAAGGGGGGAGAACAGACAATAAACAAATAAATAAGGAAATAATAAAATATGTCAGATGAAAAAAAAAAGTCAGATGGTGCTAAATGCTATGGAGAAAAATGGAGTGGGAAGATTCAGAAGGGCGGGCAAGGGAAGTTTTTACTCAGTGTGGCCAGAGACTGTCACATGGAAAAGCTAAGAGCAGAGATCTGATAAGGAGAAGGAGGGAGCCATATAAATATCTCAGGGAAGGGGATTCTTGGCAGGGGACACCACAGTGTGTAAAGGCCCTGGATGAGAATAAGCTTGGCTAAATGGATAGTAAGAGGGTATATGTTGGAATGGAAATTGCAGAGCAGGTAAATGGCAGAGTAGAGATTTGAACCTACGTCTTGCTTCTCCGTGTCTAAAACCCTCTATTCTATTTTTCAACTGCTACCTTGGGTCCGTGGCCTTGCTCCTTGCGGCCCACTCACCTGGTGCATATAGAGGGCGTGCAGGCTCATCTCAGTGGATGCATATTCTGACAGCACCAGGCTCTGCAGCTGTCCTTCCCACACACTGCTCCCAGAGCTGGCTGTCCTGGCATCCATCCTGTCCCTCCCAGCACAGAGACAGCAGTTATTAACATTTCTGAGACCGATATAAAATGCTAGGTGCTACTGCCATGCCCTCCCATCTTGGCCCACCTCTACTCACCCAGAGCCTGTCATGGTACTGGGAGCCCGGCCTGTGGAAACCTGACCAGGTTGCAGAGGGGAGAAGGAGCACAGGGCAGAGGCGACTTCAGTCCTGTGCCTGGAACCCTGCAGGTCTCTGGGCAGTGAAGGACCACGGCAAGATGAGCCGGCCACTACATTTGCAATAAGACTCAGTGGCTATGAAAGAAAGGGGTGAGAATTCTCAGGGCAGGAGGGAAGCCTCTGGGGCCCCCAATATTTTTTATATCAGGAACCAATGACACAGACTAAACAGAGAGAAGGAAAACTATAGGGTAGGCCCTTCCACCCCATGCCCAGTTCTCAACTCCAGCTCCTGGAGTCCACTCTGCCCATCATCTCCCAGCCCCCAGGAACATACCTCAGACTCAGATTGTAAGGACTGGATGGACGTAAAGAGGGCATTTTCAGGGAGTAGACCCCCTTGGGCAAGGCCAGCAGCTGCTCCATCCCGCTGAACCTGTTCCTTGAGGAAACCCAGGAAGGCCGTGCTCTCACGTGGTGGCTGCCAGCCAGGGTTGGTGATGGCAAAGTGCATAAGTGACAACTCCGTTTTCCCGTCCTCGGCTTGCTGGTACACTGAGGCCTCGGTCTGACCAGCAGATAGCCACTGCACAAGAGAGGCCACAGTGAGAGGATAGTTCTCTTACAGGAACCCTTTTTGTACCTGTCCTGCTAGGGAGAGGTTTACCCATGGAGGACAGAGACCGAAATACACTGCTGTATCTTGTCCAGGGCCCTGGTGCCCACCCCAGGAGTGGCCACACGCTGAGCTAATTGCTTGGTTTGTGCCTTTCTCAGGGAGCTTCTTGGCCAAGAGTGCCAGTTTAGGGCTAAAATCCAGCCCAGGCTCCTGTTTATTAAGCAGTGTGTGCCTGGAGACAGGGCTGCTGTTTTGTGAGGTGTTGGCTCAGGAGAAATACCTTTTTGCAGTTTGCCAGCACTGTCTCTAGCCACCTGCCCCCTCCTCTCCCAGTACCTGGGGATGCCCATGCTGGCGAACATCCATCTGGGCAAAGGAGCAGGTATCTCCAACACCAACGACCTCCACAGTGAAATTGCGGAAGAAGTCTATAATTTCCAGGGCCCGCGGACGCAGGCAGAAGATGAGGATGAGGGGTGTGACAATGGGGCTCAGTAACTCCTCCAAGATGAACACCTACAAGGGAAGGGACCAAGGCCATGAGAGCAGGAGGGATCCCAGGCCTCACCACCAAGCTATCGGCCAGTTTCTAGCAGGCCCTAACTCCAACTCCACTCACTGCCTTGTACTGGAAGAGCTGGGCAAACTCGTCCCGGGTCTGCGAGCGGTGGGCATTACCCTGCCAGTGGTCGGGCATGTAGTGGATGTGAGCGAGGATCACGCGGAGCAGCTGCTCAGGGCAGAACACCAGGTGCTGGTCTGGGATAAAGGACCTGCAGGACCAGGGTCACAGTGAGACGTCAGCCTGGCCAGGGAATGCTAGTCAGCTCGCTCCCACCTGCTACCCGACCCACCTGCACACGGTCACAGTGACCCCCAGGAGTGTGACGGTGGTGAGGACGTGTTCCACAGCTAACACATCTTCGTCGTAGATGGTGAGGGCAATAAGCACGGCCAGGATGGAGCCAGCAAAGAAGGCGCAATTCTTGGCCAGCAGTGTCAGCAGAGGTGACAAGAAGCAATTCATGTACTTGGAGGCTGGCTTGTAGCCACGGTTCAGACGGGACTGCAGCTCATGCTCCAGCTCGTTGAAGTGGCGGAGGTAGCAGCGGCCATAGAGTGACCAGCAACGTGCTCCCAGGGCCCCAGGCTCCCGCTTCAGCACCTCAGCATAGCTGAAGAAGGCATAGAGGATCTGCCAGATGAGGATGAGGGGGCACAGCAGGAAGTTGGCGATGCCAATCCACAGGATGCGGTTGCTGAGGCGCTGGGCCAACTCTAGCCGTTGCCCCCCACGTTTGTACTCAGCCTTGAGGCTCCACTCATTGAGAAACAGAGAGCCAGGTCCCCAGAAGAGGATCAGCTCGAAGTTGTACTTGAGGCCACGGGTGAAGAAGACAACCTCCCCAAGGCCAGGCAGGCGGAAACGCAGGGGCAGGAGGGATTTGTTAACCAGTGCCACCATGTAGTTCTGGAAACGGAGGATGCGGTGGTATATGTCCAGCTCTGTCAGCTCACGCTTGTGGATACAGATCTGGTGCTCTTTCTGGGTCTGCACAATCCGAGCCTGCACTTCCTGCCACGTGCAGTATGGAAGGGCAGACTGTGGGGTGGGGAAGAGACAAGGTGTGGAAGGTGGGATGGTTGCCTTGACCCCTTGCCCTGCATTACCTGAGAGGCTCAGGGTCCTGTGCTTAGTTGAGTGGAGCCCTTAAGCAGATGCTCCCTCACCTGCCAATGACAGCTGAGGAGGCCTGATGCCCAGGAATACACCCCACCCTTACCAAGGTGAAGAAGGCATTTTGGGCTGTGGCGCTAACTGCCCAACTTCCCAGTCTCACCATGGGGATGCGCAGAGCATGCAGGTAGAAGGAGTGGATCTCCCAGTAGCAGCAAATGTTATAGATGAACTTGATAAGCCGGTGGACCCAGAAGACACCAGCGATGACCAGAATGGTGATGAGAGAGCCATTTTCCTGAATCCTGGTGGGGTAAAAAATGGCGAGAAGGGGTGCCTTTAAGGAGTCTTGGCAGATAAGCTGCTCTCCTGGAGGATTTGGCAAGGCTGGGCCTGAGTCTCTGTTCTAGGGAATGTGTTACTGCCTCACATTCCATTCCATTCCCCACCTTCGATCAGAACTACAGACTCTGATGCCCTCTGACCTGCAGCCCTTACCTGGCACTACAGACTTGGGCAGGCAAAAAGGCATCTGGCAGAGTGACCTTGACGGGCTCGGTGGGGTGAAGACTGTGGTTCACCATCTTGTTGGCAAATAAGATGTCATAGTCCACACAGCTGACCAGAAAGGTGGTGAAGGCAACCACAAAGAGGAACTGCCTGGAGAGTTGGGAAGAGGGGGCGCAGCCCAAGAGTCAGAGAGGCACCAGTGAAATAGTGTGGAAAAGAGAGGAGTCTGGAAGCAGCGGGACAAGATTAGGGAGCAGCCTCTGGGAAATGGAGGGGCTGGGGAGCTCCTCATGGGCTCTCTCTACTGCTCAGCCCTACAAACAAACTCCTATTTTTTTGCTTTTAGCTTCAGGCCCTACAGAATCAGTGTGCTTCTGTCTTTCGCCTCACAGTAATCTCTGCCACTGCTTACTGGACTCTTTCAAAAGTCTTGATTGTTGTCGCTGGTTCCTGGTCCCTGACTTCCTTTTGATGTAGTCGTTAGAAGCCCTTTGGGGATTTGAACTCTTTTCTTACTGAGGGACGGTTTCCCAACCCCTTCCTCTTTGGCAAGGTCATATGGCTCCTTCCTCTTAGAAGGCTCTCTGCCCAGCAGCAGGTCTAAGGCGCAACCAAGGCAGAACAGAGGCACTTTTCTCAAGTGGCTGGCATCTGACGGAAGCATGCCCATTCCACTGGAGCTCTGATGAAATGATCAAGTCTGAATTCTCTTCATGGCAGAGACAGAACTTGGAAAGCTTATATGGGAGATAAAAATGGTGAAGGCTGTAAATTTTGGTGCCATATCACTCCCTGAAATACAAAGGTTTGCAGAATTTTGAGCCTGGGACTGAGATGCATTGGCAGGTAGGGCCAGGGGTGAGCTCAAGGAGAGTAAAGACTGAGATGTATTTCTTTACCAAATGATCCAACCCTTTTTATACTTACATAAGCTCAAAGATCTCCCCGATGAGCATACAAGTGAAGCCATTCTTCTGGTGTAGATTATAAACGTGTAATTCTTAAGAAAAAGTGGTTCGTAGAGACGGCAATTAAGAGCAGACTTTGGTGTCACATACCTGAGCTTAAGTCCTGGCTCAATGACTTTCTAGCCATGTAATTTTGGCCAAGTACTTAACCTCTTTAAGCTTTTGTCTGCAGTGATATATTGGGAATAACAGCACTTATCTCATAGGATTATTAGGTCTAAGACAATGCATGTAAAGTATTTAACATAGAGCTGACACAGAATGAGTCAAAAGACATTAATTATTATGGTTATTAGCATCCCATCAAAAAGGAGAAGCACTCTTAGAGAGGTTCCTTATAAATAAACACCACAAGTGAAAGGCACCGCCTGGCCAGTGTGGTTAAGTGTCAACCTATGAACCAGGAGGTCACGGTTCGATTCCTGATCAGGGCACATGCCCGGGTTGTGGGCTCGATCCCCAGTGTGGGGCATGCAGGAGGCAGTGATTCTCGCTTATCCTTGATGTTTCTGTCTCTCTCTCCTTCCACATTCCTCTCTGAAATCAATATAAATATTTTAAAAAAACAACCCAACATTAAAAAAAAAGTGAAAAGTACATAGCTCTTGGTAAATGTGGGATATCATTACTTAGAACAATCATCATTTCCCCCATCCTCTTTTAACCTCAATAGTTCCATCCCCCTTACAGGGATTATAGTCAAACCCACCCCAACTTCCCATCAGAGGCCTGGCTTAGAGAGGGACTAAAGGTCCCACAGCTCCAACACAGAGACACAAAGGATATTCGAGAGAAAAAGAGGTCGAGGTTTTCGATGTGGTGCCAAGGTGCTGTGGGCACAGGAGTAGAGATGTCAGAGCCCCTTGCTCCCCACTCCACCAACTCTCCCCCATGCCCCAGCTCTGGCTGTCATGGCCAAGAACTTACACTTGCTCCCCTCAGGGACGTGCACCAACAGGTCCTCCTCTCCTGGGGGTGAATCGCTGTAGGAGGCCTCTAGGCGCTGGTATTCAGTGTCAAACTGCGCCATCACCACCGCCCCCTGTCCACCTTATCCACCTGCCAGAAATGAGGAAGAAGAGACCCAGGGTCAGCCCCCCCATACTGCTGGTCTGCTGTCCTGCCTACTAGACCAAGAGTGAGAAAGAATCCTTGGTTTCCACTACCGTCTTCTTGACTCAAAGACAGAGGAGGAGTAAGTTCAGGGCTTGGGAGACCTTAACTGGCCAATGAGGTCAGTCATTCCCAGAGCCTTTACTGAGTATATGCTGAGGCCTGCTGGCCTGAAGCCAGACTCCGCCCCTTTGGGGGATCTGTTTCATTTTCTATTCGTAGAGAGAAGGGGCCCTTTCCCTGCCCTTCTGGAGAAGCCTGGTCTCCTAAGAGACTAGCAGTTTGGAAGCATTTTGTAAACAAAGGTCTGAAATAAGCACATGGCCTTACCTGCTCCATGGACAGTGTCTGTTTCACTCCAGCTTTGATGTCCTGGCTCTGCAGCTGCTGGAGGAGAAGGTGTCAGGCCCCAGAGAGTAGAGTGGGGACAGGGAAAAAACCAACCTTCGCAGGCATGCCCCCCACCCCACCAAGAGGGGCCAAGCCTGGGACAGCCTAGGGTCATGCGCATTTCCGCTGGCAGCACTATAAAGGGCCACTCATTCAGCTCAAGCAGTGGCTTATTGAAGCTGTGAAGACTGAGTCCGTGAGGGCCTGAGGTCTCTCCATTGCTCCACTTCAGCCTCAGAAATTAGGCCAACAGGGTCCACAAAGCCGCAAACCCCAGGAGACCTTTCTGGCCAACCTCTTCTCCTCCCCGAGCACTGAAGGGCCAGCGGGCAAGCCTAACTCCTGGATGGGAAGTCCTAACCGGGCCGGGGTAGATCCAGATCCTAGACCTAGACCAACTGTGTGTTCTGGAGGTCCATGGAGCCAGGCATGGTCTAGGTGGCACTCACCCGGTCCCGGGGCCCTGGAGCACGGCCCGGCCGGCCCCGGTGGGAGTCCCTGGGTTAGTGAGAGCCCTGGGTCCACAGGAGCCGGTCAAACCCTCGGGGAACTCACCACTCACCGGGCAATGTGGACCCAGGGCCCATGGAACCCCAGCCGGCCGGGCCTGGGCTCAGGGGTTCCTGCGGATGTTGGAGGTGAGAGCCCGTCCGACAGCGGATACCCCAGGTGGGCTGGGTGGCCTCCCCACACCCAGTTGCCACGACTGGAGCCCAGCGCGCCCCAGGGTCCGGCCCGGGGCTCGGCTCCCTACAGCGGACAACCTTGCGCGCGCCCCCGCCGCTGGCGCGCGCCCGCCCGCATGCCCTGCTATCAAAACATTCCGGCCGCGCGCCACCGCCCCGCCCGCGGCGCCCCTTCCCCCGTTACCCGCCGCGAGCTCACTCAGGTCTCCGCGGGCGCCCCCGGCCAGGTCCGGCCCGGGCCCTGACATACCCGTAACCGGTCTCGCGCTTCACCTCGGGAACCGTGACCCCGGTGATTCTGGGGATCCGACAGCTCGGTAGGACTCGACCCGACCCAGAGAGCTAGGCCCGGCGCCTGCCACTTACTGTCACCAGCAGCCAGCCTGGCCAATGAGCATAGGGGGGCGGAGACACGACGGCCCATTTTTTCCCCGCTTCGGGGGCGGGACTAAAGGCGGGTCTTGAGCGGGCAGAAGACCAATGGGGCTTCGCGTGGGGCGGGGCTCAGGTGAGGGCGCTGCTGATTGTCCCGTTCGCGGCCCCGTAGTGACGAGATTGCTGTGGAGCTGCAGACATCCGGATTTGGAACTGCGGACATGCGTAACTCGCAGCAGTTTGGGATTTGCGGTGCAGCTTCTGAGGCCCGGGAGGAGTCCACGCGGCTTAGTCACTGATGGAGCTCATCGCACGAGTAACGAAGAGCGGTCGCTTTGGGAACCTCAGTGATTTTAACTCTGTTGGATTCGATTTGAAAGCTGGGTGCTCTCCCATTTCACTCTTGTGTGGCCGGAGACTGGAGGTATGAGAAAGCGGGCTGGGGTCACGTATCAGCCCCAAAGCTGACTCCTGGAGCCAGGGTGAGGGACGAGGTGCCTTGCAGCGCGGTGGAGACCGAGTCTGGCAGGCAGGAGACGCGGCGGTCGGATCTCGCTTGGGGAGGGCTCTGCTTTTCTCCCCTCTTTTGTGCGCAGCCATGTCGCCGGCTCCAGCAGCAGCCCAGGCTCCTACGTCGGTCTCCTTGTTTGATCTCAGCGTGGATGCTCCGGTCCTTCGGGGCCTGAGCCTAGTGAGACACCGTCCCGGGGAGACTCTGGCCCAGGCACTGCGGACTTCCTCTCCAGGTATCCGGGAAGATTTGGGGTGAACCCATGAGAAACATGACAGGGCTCTTTGCAGATTATTGCTCCTCCAGAGAACACATTCCTATTGGCATTTCCCAGTTTAGGAGCCCTTGTTGACATCTGTTTCCACCGGATAAAATGTATCTTAAATTCACTGTCTAACACAGACCCCTTGAATTATCTACAAATAAGTCTCTTGCCATTGCTTATGTTCTTGTCTCAGTAATGCCACTACCTACAAAAACACTTCAAAAACTCCTAGATCTTTTTAAAAATTCCTATAGTACAAATTTAACTGGATTCCAATCAATCATTCATTAATGCTGAATGTAAAACAATGTCATTTGGTTGTGTACAACTTTAGTTTGTCTCTGGCTGTTTTTCTTGAACCTTGTTTAAGCAAACTGCACACTGTAATTGGAAACGTAAACGAAAAAATTGGCATTCAGGAAGTGGTTTTTGACCAGTTAAAAATAATTTTAACCATACCAACATATATTTTCTGCAAGATTCCTCTAAATCCCTTTGGTTAATTTAAATACAATGTTTGACTTATAATCATTTTACATGTATCTTTTTAGAAGCAACTTTATTGTATAAAGTGATTACTGTGCTATTTATTTAATATATTTTTATTTCAGAGAGGAAGGGAGAGTGAGAGAGAGAGAAAGAAACATCAACGATGAGAGAAAATCACTGATTGGCTGCCTCCTGCACACCCCACACTGGGGATTGAGTCCACAACCCAGGCATGTGCCCTGAAGGGGAATTGAACCGTGACCTCCTGGTTCATAGGTTGATGCTCAACCACTGAGCCACACCAGCTGGGCATGTGCTATTTATTTATTGATTACTAGACTATAAATTCCTTAAATGCCATCTCTTTCTTTAGCATCTTCCTCTGCTATATATATCAAACCCTGAATAAAATTCCAGGTACTATCCATTTGGACTCCCTTTCCACCTCTAATTACCCTCCCTTATTTAGGTTCAGGGGTGAGAACAAGCCCAGAAAGAAAACCATTCCAGGGTCCTCTGGATATTTCAGGGAAGTTATTTTGTTCAACCTGTGACCAGACCTTCCAGAACCATCAGGAACAGGTAAAACACCAGGTGCAGAGCTAAATGGTGGAGGCAAAAGTAGAACAGTGGGTGAGGAGAGATAGACATTTGTGTTTAATGAGTAAAGGTTCACGTTTTGAATAAGGCAGTTGGTGTTACCCAGTCATACTGCTGGAGTCCCGTTACTGGTCTTGGGTACCATAAAAGGCCAGGCTGGGGCATATTTCCACATTCTGCTTCCCTCATTGACTCCTACCAGAGGGAACATTATAAGCTTGACTGGCATCGGTTTAACCTAAAGCAGCGTCTCAAGGACAAGCCTCTCCTGTCTGCCCTGGACTTTGAAAAGCAGAGCTCCGCAGGTGATGTCTGGTGGGAGACCTTAGTAGGGGTAGGACATGGGGGTGGAAGAGGGCCCTCATTTAGGAGCTTGAGGGAAGTTCAAAGATGAGGCATCAAACTTCTATATCTCATGTTTCAGGAGATCTTTCTAGCATCTCAGGATCAGAAGACTCAGACTCAGCCCCTGAGGAGGACTTACAGATACTGGATGAAGAGAGGGTTGAGTTTGAGAAGTCTAACAGATCCCAAGGCTTCTGCTCCCATCGGGTTCTTTTCCAAAATGCCCAAGGCCAATTTCTTTATGCCTATCGCTGTGTCCTAGGCCCTCACCAGGCAAGTGACAGCACAGGTTGTGTGGTTAACCCCATCCTTTTGTACATTCAGCATAGATTTCCACTTCGCTCAGACCATTTCTCACTTCTCTCCTTCCTTCCTATTGGGTGTGGGTGTCAGGCTTAACAGCACAGTCTTGTTTTGAACTGGCCTGAATCTTGGGTCAAGTGTGATGGAATTAAGTTTAGAAACAGACCAATCTAGGTTTGGATTATAGTTCTACCACTTGATCTTGACTAACTCTAGAAGCCTCACATTTCCTTGTCTACATAAAGTTGTTGTATTAAATGATAATGCATGTGAAGCAGTTAGCACTGGCATGTGGTTCCTTACTCTCAATGAATGTAACAAGATATGTTTGTGCTGCTCCTCTGTCACCTAGGTGCTCCCAGAAGAGCCAGAACTGCTGCTACGAAACCTGCAAAGTGGAGGTCCTAGACACTGCGTGGTACTCATGGCTGCAGCTGGGCACTTTGCTGGTGCCATTTTCCAAGGGTGAGAGGGTGCTGTGTGGGGTTAAGGATGGAATGGATCCTTCTCAACTGGGAGTACCAGGTTTCCAGTACTGAGTCTGTATTGTCTACAGAAGAGAAGTGGTGACACACAAAACCTTTCACCGCTACACAGTCCGGGCCAAGCGTGGCACAGCCCAGGGACTTCATGATGCCCGGGGTGGGGCTTCTCGCTCTGCTGGAGCCAACCTGAGGCGCTACAATGAAGCTGCACTATATAAGGTAAGTTAGGCATCTCAGATCTCGTGGTCCACTAATATACCTTTTCCCCCTCAACTTATTAAATGTTACAGTAAAGAGGTTGACTCCTTTATCTTCCAGTCTTCATTATTTTTGGTTAAGGTATAATAGGATGGATCCTCAGGAATCTTGGTCTTGTCCTTCCTCCCTCTGTGTTAAATTCTACCTTTCACTCCCTACACATGGGGTCATTTATTGGTTGGAGATTTAAACAAGTGAAGATATACAGGGCTGTGACTTTCTTCTCTAGGACGTTCGTGACCTGCTGGCAGAGCCAGGCTGGGCTAAGGCGTTGGGGGAGGCTGGGACAATACTGCTGCGTGCCCCCCGCTCTGGCCGGTCCTTGTTCTTCGGAGGCCAAGGGGCACCCCTGCAACGGGGGGATCCCCGACTTTGGGATATCCCCCTCGCTACCCGCAGACCCACCTTCAAAGAACTACAGCGTGTGCTCCATAAGCTGACCACTTTGCATATCCATGGTGAGCCTTTGACCCTGATTCCAACTCCATAGACCTTCCGGTACCTTCTAAACCAAATCTCAGGTTCTCATTTGTTCATCCAGATGATTTTCTAGTCCTTGGACTGCAGCCCAATCCCATCTTCATTGAGAAAACCTGGGCTGGATTCTCCTCAGCTAAACTTGAGCAACATCTTTTGTTTTATGGCAGGAGAAGACCCCCGGGAGACAGTCAGGTTGGACTCACCTCAGTCATACTGGAAGACAATGCGAGAGAAGAAGAAGGCTATTGAGGAAGAAAGAAAGGTCCCCAGTGATGAAAATGGGGCAGTAGGGCAGAATGAGGACTCTCCCAAACAAGGTTTGACTACCACCTGTCAACTGTCAAATCTCTGTCTGGGTGTCTATCCTGGAAATGCAGTAGCAAATCCCCTACTCTCGCTTTCCTATTTATAGATGAGCCTCATGCAACACACACAGGTCTGTTAATGAGATATGTGATAGTAATTACTGAGACATGTTTAGTGACCTTTCCAGATCTGCTATTACTGCTTCTGTTCATTGATATAGCCCCAGAACTCAGAAAAGTCTTAGCATGAAGTAGATGTTTAAATGTGTTGCATGAATTTCACAGAATTTACATGTTTTATTAGATGCTTCCTGGGCTGCAGACTTTTGGCCTTCATAGCTGTCACTGCTCCTATGCTTTCCTCCGTGTGCACCATCAAAGGGTGCTCATGGGAGAGTCTAGGGACTGTACGTGTCTGGCCTGAGAGCCTCATTTCTGCATATCATACTAATGGATTCGGCTCTCAATGTGTTACTTTATCTTGGGTGACAATACAGATAATTTTATTTCAAGATGATCTGGATTATCTCTATATGTATATTCTTATGCATCTGGGATAGCCCACATCCTTCCACCCTCTGCTTATTCTTTAGATGGATCTAATATGTCGTGTTTTTCCCTAGCTTCAGAGTCAGAGGGAGAGGATGGCTTCCAGGTAGAGTTGGATCTAGTAGAGTCGACAATAGGGACCCTGGATCTTCGTGAATTTGAGGTATTGCCCAAGCGGAGGAGGAGAAAAAGGAATAAGAGGGAGAAAAGCCAAGACCTGGAGGCTGGGGCACATGTGACTCTTCCCCAGCAACCTCAAGAAGACAAGGCCTTCTCATATGCAGTCCCTTTGGAGCCTTTCATGGATGAGGCCAAGGTCCCTGGTCAGCCAGAGCTCTGGGACAAGCTTCTCGCTGCTTGCAAAGCTGGAGATACTGGAATGCTGAAAATCCAGCTAGCTGCCAGCCCCATAGACCCTGAAGTTCTGTCTCTGCTCAATGCCCCCTTGGGCTCCAGTGGCTTCACCCTTCTGCATGCAGCAGCTGCAGCTGGGAGAGGCTCAGTCGTTCGGTTGCTGCTAGAGGCAGGTGCTGACCCCACCATCCGGTAAGTAAGGGTCCCCATAGCGAGCCCTTTAGGTTATAGAGAGGATGATCTGAAGACTAACGTTGGCATTAGCTACTTGACAGTATTCCCCTTGGTCTGGTTAACCAGCAGTTCTCAACCTGTGGGTCGCGAACAATGAAAATACATCCTGCATATCAGACATTTACATTAGGATTCATAACAGCAAAATTACAGTTATGAAGTAGCAACGAAAATAATTTTATGGTTGGGGGTCACCACAACATGAGGAACTGTATTAAAGGGTCGCGGCATTAGGAAGGTTGAGAACCATTGGAGGTGGTGTTAGGAGATGCCATAGGCAAGTTGAACCCATTTTGGGGGTTTCCACACCTAGGGACTTCCGGACTCGGCCACCATATATGGTTGCAGCTGACAAAGCAACACGTAATGAGTTCCGAAGGTTCATGGAGAAGAATCCAGATGCTTATGATTACAGCAAGGCTCAGGTCAGCTGGGAAAGGAAGCAGCAGCAGAGTGGGATGGCATCATATATCCTGGCTAGATCTCTTCTGTCTTAGATTTACCAAGGATAGTTTGTATAGGTCTTACCTCATACCTTCCCCGAAATCCTCCAGGTGCCAGGGCCACTGACATCAGAAATGGAGGCGCGGAAGGCTATGCGGAAAAGGGAGCAGAAGGCAGCCCGGAGGCAACGGGAAGAACAGCAGCGGAAACAGAGGGAGCAGGAGAAGCAGGAGCAAGAAGAGCAGCAGCGATTTGCTGCTCTCAGTGACAGAGAGAAGGTGAGGCTGGAGGTTTTCTCTTCCACCCCGAGACTTCCTTAGAGGTCTAGTCCCTTCCCAATGTTCAACTGTCACTTCTTGGGTACCCCGTCCACCTTTGGGGCCTTGTCCTTGACACAACTTCTCTTCCCCTCAGAGAGCTGTGGCTGCAGAGCGGCGACTAGCTGCTCAGTTGGGAGCCTCTACCCCTCAGATTCCTGACTCTGCAATCGTCAGTGCTGGGTATGTGGCGGGGGCAGGAGTGATGATGGGTGGACCATGTCTGGGCAAGTAGAATGAGTGCCTACAGACAAAGGCTGTTGAAGGGATGTGAGAAGTTCTTTGAACCTTGGAGTGGAAACAAAAATAGCAGGAAGAGGGACAGGGGTACTTGGATCGAGAAGTTTTTGGTACCTGTACATCCATTTTTCCTCTGTTCAGATGCTGCTTGAGCTGTGGGACGTCCCTCCAAGGCCTCATTCCCTTTCACTACCTTGACTTCTCTTTCTGCTCCACACGCTGCCTCCAAATTCATCGCTGTCAGGCCAGGAAGCCCTCTTCCTGATCTCTCACAGCTCCACCCAGGGCCAACTCTAGACCCTGAGAGGGCACATTTACACTGGTCCTAGGTTTCTTCTTTCCGAGAAACCAGAGTATTTGGAAGATTGGGATGAGAGAGACTCAGGAGCCCAGACAAAGACAGTGCCATAGAGATGTGTGGAGCTGGTACTGTCTCTGGAATTTTAATCACAATAAAGTTTGGCAAGGAAACTGCACTTGTACAGTTGTTTTGGCCTTTGATTCTTTGTGGTCACCTTGGCCAGTACCAAGGAATTCTGCCCATTCCATGTCCCAGGTCCAAGGGTTATCTTTCTTTCAGTGCCCACTTAACTCCATTGGTTCAGAATCACTTCGTGTATCAGCTGAGAGGGAGTAGATGTATGTCCTATGCAAGGTGCTATTGAGGATAGGACTATCCAGAAATTGGATTTGGGGTTGGGGAGGCACATTTTCTAGCTCAAGCAATGTGATTTTGTTGAGAACTCCCCTAGGAAACAGCAAAGGTTTTGGCACGTAGAGGGTCTGTTGTGGCCCTCTCTTTGTCCAGTACCGGCCCAAGTTAAACCCATTGATCCAGACTTGACCCTGTCATGGTGGGAGGAGAGGAAAATAAATGGTCAGTTCTCAGGGGGGTAGAATTATCCTCTTTTGGGTTTCTATTCAGAGGAATAATTTCTGTTCCCCCTTCCATGATTTTTCTGTCTTACCACCTCCCAACCTCATCCCGATGACTACTATCAGCAATACCTTGGTCCATCCAGGTAGAAAGAGAAATGTGTCTCTGACGGAGTCTAAAATTGGAAACGTTGTGGAGTAGAAGATGGGGCCAGAGGGAGTTTGAGGATGTGAGTTTTTCAGCAATTGGAGGGGAAACGACCACTTTACAAGTTTATCAACTTTCAGAGGGAACATCAGCCATTGGGTAAGGATTGTTTGCCCCAGAATTGGTGCCTGTAAAAGGCCCTGTGAAGAAGGCAAATGAAAATTCATTACATTCAATAATCTCTAAGGTGAAATTGTCCCTAATCAAGCCCTGAGATGCAACTAGTAGCCAAGTCCAGATTCCTACAAGCCACTACTTTGCTAAGGACATGGCTCTTGCTTATCTTCCATTAGGCCCGTATCTTTCCATTTTTCTTCCTCTGCTCAGATGCTGCTGGAGCTGTGGGACATCCCTCTAAGGGAGTTTGGTCAATAAAGTTGTGGGGTGAGAGGAGGGGCAAAGCTAGCTCACCTTGAAGTCACTGTAGTTAGACCCGAAACTGAGCCTCCCCATGTTCTCCAGCAAGACATCCAGTTTGGCCCCCATTTTCCCCGTCAAAAATAGTTTGTGTTTCGTGTTTCGTTCCAAAACACCCTGAAACACCTGTGGATAAGAAGATCTGTGATGGGAAGGGTTCAGCATCTAGCTCCTGACCACCAAACAGGAAGCCACATTAGGGTACTTATTTGGAGGGCAAAGAGAATGTAGCCCATCTGTCAATTACTCTCCATTCTGGACCTTACCCTTAGTCAAACTCTATCTCATCCCAGCTTATCCCTGGACCCCCTGCAAATGTGGGCAGGCAGTGGGAAAGGTAGATAAGGGAACCTAAGGGTAAAGGGTGCTTGAGAGGAGAGGAAAGTGGGGCTCACAAGGTAGCCTGGAATTAGGTTCGTACCCCATCCACCATCACGTAGGCACGGTCATGTATTCCGTTGTTTGGCACCCAGAATTGTGTTGGCTCAAAAACAGTATGCGTTAGATAGGTCCGGTACAACATAAAACCACGGTCCTAAGTGTGGAAGAATGAGTACTTATGATAAATTGATATAAAAAATGGGGAAGATGTGGAACTTAGGGAACCTTTGGCTATAGCTGGTGAGGAAGGTTGCCTTACCTTCTGGCTGTGGGATTATGCCTTACCTGCTTGACAGCTTCAAAGGTCATTGGCAAGATTGAATGGATGGGCCCTTGGGGGCACAGTAAGTGTAGGAAATCCAGCAAATATCCATCCTATTAGAATAAGGAAGCAGTATCAGAATAAAAGAAGTTTCAGAATAGAGGGCTATTTAGAGAATAATATGGTAGAATCAGGAGAGAGAGGGAGGAGCTTACCAGGTGTAGGGTCAAAGGTCCGAGCATCATCTTGGGGCTGGGGGGAGGTAAAGGTCCCAAGGGAATTTCCTGGAACTGAGCCCAAATTCTCTCAGGAGCCATAGAAAAACCACACAACCCCTATTCCAAGACCCTACCCTAGCACAGGGTTCTTAACCTGGCATCCAGGGAATGGCTTCAGGGTCATGAAGATCCTGTAATTTTACACATACTTGTGTGTATCTCCCCAGGTAGTCCCATTTGGGCAAGTAGAAAATGTTTTTATAGGATGCTCACAGGGCTCAGTGGCCTAGACAACCACCAGTGATTTCTGGGAACTCTTTATAAACAATTTAGGCACTCCCTTTCCCCAATTAATAAAAGCCTTTGGTACTTAATGAAGTGGTAGGGCACCTGGCTGATGACATTTCGAAGAGCAAAAAGCTTGAATGTAACATCCCCTGCTTCAGATATTGGTGCATCGTAGTCATAGCTGGTAGTAATTGGAAGGAAGTGTCCCTTCTCATCAGCACCTGGGGTCGAACCAATTTAATTAATTCAATACATCTATGCACATGCAGAGAATTTTGCCATCAGACGGGGGCAGTGATGGCCATTACGATTATAGATATCCTAATCCACCCAGCCCTCAAATTCTAATTCCTTGCTACCTTCCTGCTACCACCCCAGGGACCATCTGGACTCACCATTCCAGTATCCAAAGTTGGTACCTCCATGAAACATGTACCTGAAATGAGGGAAGGTGGGGGGAAAAGCATGTGCTGACCCATGGAATCTTAACTTTCATCCCCACACCCAATTACATTCATGTTGGCCCCAGTGTCCAGTTACATGTTCACACTGGCTCCCAACTTCAGCATTTTCTCTAGTCCTCTGGTTACAGCTATAATGGACCGTGTGGAGTGATTCTGGCCCCAGTAATCCAGCCAGCCTGTGTAGTACTCAGAGTTCACCTAGTGTGAAGTGAAAGGAGCCACCATGAGCAAGATGGGGAACCGAGCTCAACCCATTCCCACCCGTGATTCTTGCCCTGATTGCCCTCCCCTCTGGCTTCTCACCAGTGGCCCATGAGGTTCATACTCCCTTTGCAGGGCAAAGATTTTGGTCATGTTGTCAGCTGCAGAAAGGAGGCATGGGTGAAAGATAAACATCACAGAAGAGGTGCCCCTTCCCCAGACTCCACCCTAACCCTTGCTCAGGAGACCTGGGCCAAAATCTACAGTGGTGTAAAGTCCCTTGAGGGAGCCACATCTGAGTCCCAGTGGCCCATCTGTGGTGAAGAGCAAAATCTCATCTCCTAGTAGTGCACGGAAGAGCCCAGCCAGGTGCTTCATGTAGGCGAAGTCGCAGGACCTATAGCTACCATATTCATTCTCCACCTGCCAGGAGAAAGGAAAAGAGCTCAGCCATGAGGTGGAGAAGGTTAAGAACCCCTGGAACCTCCTTCCCCTTGCCCAGTCAACTTTCCACTTGTACCTGAATGCTAATGATGTTGCCCCCATTGTGGTAGAGCCATGGATATATCTTGGGCAGCAAGACCTTGAACCAGGAATCCACTGCGGCAAGGAAGTCTAAAGGAAGGAGCAGTGCTCTGATCATTAGGGCACCACCACCTCCACAATCCCCACTCCTAGCATCAATGCTAGGAACTTCAGTGCTGCCTGAACTGTAGGAGAGATTGTAGGAATAGCAGTTTGCATCCCACTTGTCCATAACTAAATGTGGGAGCAGTAACTTGTGAAAAGCTCTCAACCCTATTTGCATGGCAAGAAATTTGAGCACATGAAACCTTAAAGCAACGTTTCTTCTAAATTTATTTTTTAAATGTAAGAAAAATGTTAAACACATCTAATGGAGCTATAGTGTATAATCTAACATGGGAATTCACAGAACTGTAGAATGCCTGACCTACACCTTGATGTGAACGACAGTCCAGGTGATTTCAGTCATCAACTGAAAGAGCATTATATTAGGTTTCATGGCTTAAAATTCTCAACTCCTATTTGTGATTGTTGTTGATTCATACTCATGGTCTTCATGTATGTTACTACCTTTGCCTGACACTCTCCCCACTGCCTTTACCTAGCCAACTCCAACTCAGTCTTCAGGTCTTAACTTATATTTCACTTCCTTAAGAAAGCCTTTGATAATCCCAGTTTAGGGTAGATCCCCCTGTTACACACTCTCATATCACCTGATACTTCTCTTTCAAACACATACCCAATTATAATTAAGCATTTATTTTTGTAATTGTTTCCTGTTGGTCTTCCCCACTAGTGAGCGGGAATTTTGTCAGGTTCATTTGTTTGGTCCCTATCATTGAGGACAATGCCTAGCAGATAGCAGACTCCTGAAGGTGGATTTGATGAAAGATATTTTGGAGAATATTTTTGTATCCTTAAAAGACTTAATTCTAAAAAAGGACTAAAATAAAATATTTAATTCCTTTATATTTGCATAAAGGAGGCCCAGGTTTTATTGCCTTCTTTAATCCAAGCATACATTAAATCTCACTCAACAAAAAATTATGGGTAGTGACTAGCACCAAGCACTATTGTAAGTGTTAAGAATATAGAATAGAAAGAAATAGACAAAAATCCCTGGGAATTTCCTTTCCAGTGAGGGAAGCAGTTGGTAAAAAGGTAAAAAATACAGTGGTTTAATGCCAAGGAGAGAAAAATAAAGCAGAAAAGGAAGATATAAAATAGTGAGGTGGGGAGCTTAAATTTTAGAGGCTGGCCCAGAGAAGACTTTACTGTGAAGGGGATTCTGCAAAAAGAGCTGGTGGGTTTAAAGAACAGCAATGAGGCTAGCATGAACAGTGAGAAGAGTAGAGGTCAGGAAGGTGACCGAGACAATGAGGTAGGAACTAGTAGGCCATTTTAAGGAACCTGTGGTTCATATTCTGAGTGAGATGAGAACCTGTTGGAGAGGTTTAAGCAAAGAAATGACATGAGCTGATATGATAAACATATTTTAACAGGATCACACTGGCTATTGTATTGAGAATAAGACTACATGGGAGAAGGGCAAAGATGGGAAACCAGGTAGGAAGCTTAAAATAATCCAGCGGAGAGAGGTGGTTTGGACCAGAGTGGTGGCAGTGGAGGTGATGAGAAGTAGTTGAATTCAATATATTTTGAGAGTAAAGCTGACAGAATTCTATGATGTGGGGTGCAAGAGAAAGATATACATGAATAATTACACCATAGTGTTTAGTTTGATCAGTTGGGAAATAGAGTTACCACTGACACAGGGAGATTGTTGAAATAGCTAGTTTGGGAGGCAATGTCAAGTGCTTAGTTGTATCATTATGACTGTTGCATCTCCAAATGCAGAAGTCAAGAAGGCAGTTGGATAATGTGTTTGGAGGCCAAAGGAAGGTCTTGGAGAGAACATATTTCAGTCATTAGCTAATAAATGGAGTTTAATGCCATGCAAATAGATGAGATTGTCTAGGGCAGTGGTCGGCAAACTCATTAGTCAACAGAGCCAAATATCAACAGTACTTCTTCAAAATAGACTTGCCCAGGCTGAAAACCGATTTCTGCGCATGGGCCATGAAGTTTCAATCGCCGCGCCCGCACATGGTATTTTGTGGAAGAGCCACACTCGGGGCCAAAGAGCCGCCTGTGGCTCACGAGTCGCAGTTTGCCAACCACGGGTCTAGGGCAAGCATGTCAAACTCGCAGCCCGAGGACCCAACAAATATTTTTTCGGCCCAGCCAGTATAATGGTATGTAAGAAACGTTTTAATTAAAATTTTGTAACTTAATCTTTACAATATCCTGTTACACATGATTATTAATAACGAACTACAGCGTTCACTAATGACTGATTACTATAATTGTGTTGCATTCATTTCCCTTACGTGCCTTATGTGCAGGTGCACCATTTCTCTCCACTAATACTAGCAGCAAATATTTTAGCAGCTGATTGCCACGTCATTAGTCTTATACTGACTTGTTTGCTGTGTGCAACAGGAAGTATTTTGCTTTCGGAGAACAAGAAAAATAGGTTTATTTGCGTTACGCTGATTAATATGTGCAGTTATTCAGTGTCTGGTAAGTTAATATTCAAGAAAAAATATTAATTTTTATTAAAATGCTCTATTATTTTATGTTAACGATTACTCATTTATTTCAGCCTTTTGTATTCAGCATGTCTCTATCAAAATAAACCTATGTTTCTATGAAAATTGAAGCTTTTGTTTTTTTTGCAGCCCACATAAACTTAAACTTTGTTTATTTGGCCTGTGTTAGCCTTTGAGTTTGACATACTTGGTCTAGGGCAGTGGTCGGCAAACTGCAGCTCTTTGGCCCCTTGAGTGTGGCTCTTCCACAAAATACCACGTACAGTGCGATTGAAACTTCGTGGCCCATGCGCAGAAGTCGGTATTTTGTGGAAGAGCCACACTCAAGAGGCCAAAGAGCCGCATTTGGCTCGCGAGCCGCAGTTTGCCAACCACAGGTCTAGGGCATGAACACAGAAAAGAGAAGCATCTAAGGACTGAGATATGAAACACTCAAGCATTTAGCAGAAAAGGAAATGGAGAAGAACCAGTAAGAGATTGAGGAGTGGTCAGAAAGATTGTGGGAAGAGGGGCAAAGACCAGATAAGTGTAGTATCATGGAAGCTACAAGAAAAATGTATTTCAAAGGAGAGTGACCAACTGTGCTAAATGCTGCTGGTTGGTCAAGGAGGATGAGGTCTGAGAAATCGCCATGGAGTTAACATTAAAGAGGTTACTGGAATTCTTGAGAAAAAAGGAGATTGCAGCCCTGGTCAGTGTGGCTCAGCTGGTTGAGTGTCATCCCATGCACCGAAAGGTTGCTGTTTGGATTTCCAGTCAAGGGCATATGCCCGGGTTGCAGGCCTGATCCCCGGTAGATGCAGGAGGCAGCTGATCGATGTTTTGTTCTCACATTGATGTTTCTCTCTCTCCTTTTCCTTTCTTCTCTCTCTAAAAGTCAATTTTAAAATCTTTATATAAAAAAAGGAAGTGAGACTACACATAAGCTTCATCATCATAACCATTTAAAAAAATTACACTGCATATTGGTGTTCCATCAAGACTTTATCATTTTTAAAAAATATTTTTTTATTGATTTCAGAGAGGAAGAGAGAGGGAGAAAGAGATAGAAACATCAATGAGAATCATTGATTGGCTGCCTCATGCACACTCCAACTGAAGATAGAGCCAGCAACCTGGGCATGTGCTCTGACCAGGAATCGAACCATGACCTGCTGGTTCCTAGGTCAACACTCAACACTGAGCCACATCAGTGGGGTGGCACCACCATCTTGACTAGGTACTCACACTGCCGCCACCCCTACCCTTTCAATCAAATCTGTCAACAAGTCCTGGTGATTTTATCTCCAACCTATATCTCAATTCTGCTCTCTTCTTTCCATTTCCACCACCATCACCATAGTTCAGGAGCCATAATCTCCTCAACTACAGGCTTAATCTCCCAATTGGTTTCTCTACCATGATCCTTACTCCCCTCAACCCATTCTCTACATCCAGGCTAAAGTAGTCTGAAAACAAACCTGATCATGTCACATCTCTGATTAAACTCAATGACTTTCCACTATGCTAGAATACAATGCAAACCCCTTAGAACAGCCCACAAAGTCCTGCATTGGCAGTTCCTATCTCCAATTTCACGTCATACCACTCTCTCCCTTACCCACTATGCTCCAGCCATCCTGGTCTCAATCATGCCATGTTCTTTCCCATCTCTGGGCCTTATAATACACTGTCCCCTCTACCTGGTCATTCTCACTTCACTCTTCATATGACCAGAACGCTTCCTTCCCTAGTCAACTGAATGTCATCTCAGAAAAGCATTTCCTGACCTCCCTACCTAAAAGAGGTCTTCTCTATTATTCACTATCTCAACTTGTCTATTTCCTTGTGTGGTATTTTTACAACTTGCAATAATATTACAGATTTTTGGTTTCTTAAAAAATCTGTTTCTTCCACTACATAGTAAGCTCCATTGCACAGGAACTGAGTCTGTCTAGTTCCCCAGTTTCTAGCATCCTGCTGGGCACAAAGGAAACACTCAATATATATTTGAATGTACGATCTCCAATTTGGGGATGGTCTCTTCTGTTTTAGGCACCCAAATGACCCATTTTGTCGTTGTTTGCTTTTTTTCCTTGTTAAATTTTTTTTCTTTCAACTCACCTGGATCTGAAGTTCTCAGATGAATATTAGGTTTACGAAGCAACCAGGCTGGGAGACCCCCCTGAGACAAACATAAAGACAACAAAGGCAGTATATGGGTTTTGTTGTCTGAGAAGAAATTAAGTATAGTGCTGGAAGTGGCCCTAGAGTATGGGCAGAAGGGAATAGCCTAGGAACCCCACGTGGGTGGCTTTGGTTCTATCCGTTCAACTAACTCACCATCTCCCACTCTGCACAGATGTAAGGTCCTGGTCTCAGTATGACCAACAGGTTCGCTATAGATGCCTCTTTCAGAAATGCAATGAGATCCCGGCTGCCATTAAAGTTATAGACCCCAGGCTCTGGCTCATGGTAGTTCCAGGGTACATAACTGAGAAAGGAAGAGGTTAACAGGGCCCAAGGCTTGCATGGGAAATGCCTGGGAGGCATAAGGGCTCCTGGCTTTGCAAGGTATCTCCAGGAAGCTGTTGGAAGGAGGTCCTGGCCCACCCTTTCCCACCCTTGGCCTGGAAGCCTTGGAGCTCTAACTCCTCATCATACCCAAGCAGTCTTCCTGTCCCGACCCCCTTCATAAGGGAGTGGTAGGAAAAGTAAATCCCACCCCTCCGTGGCTCTCCTGAGCCCTTCTTACAGCTGTACTGCGTTGAGGCCACTCATTTGCATCTTGAAAAGCCGGTCAGCCCAAAGCACGCGAGGTACCCGAAAGTAGTGCAGGCTGCCAGACACATAGCGGAACGGAGCCCCGTCCAGAAGGAATCTATCGTGTTCCCGATCTACTACGAACGACCGAGTGTCTGCCTGCAAAGGGAGAGGCGGTGCTCAGCAGGGGTCTGGAGGAAGGGCTGGGAGGAGGGGTAATGGGCGTCTGCCAAGAGCAGAAGAGATGGAACTAGCTCGGCCGGCCGAGAGTTTTGTTATTTTCACTTTGTCTCCTACGCCAGATCTAATCGGTGTCACCGCAGGCTAGTTCAATCCTCTTGTCTCACCTGGGGTAGCAGCAGCGTCAGGAGCAGCAGCAGCAAGGAGGGAAGGCAAAGAGGCTTCTTGGGAGCCATGGCGCTAAGCCTGCGGTCCAACTGTCACGTGGCGGATTCCTGGGCGGGAACTTCAGTGAGCAAGGAGGGGCGGAGACCACCTCAAGTTGCCAGGCAATTAGCCTGGACTTTCCTCTCCGGCTCCTCTACTAGTTTGTAAAGTCCGCTACATTTTTCCCCCCCATAAAAGGTGGTTTACGTTATTTAGACCAAAAAAATCATCATTAACCTTATCCCATCCTTCATTTGTTGATTTGCTGTGCCATAGAAATGCATAGCGCAAGTTAGTTTTAGGAAGTGATAAAGTCCTCTGCATTTTGAACCAGCTTTATGAGTCACCTGGGAGCTTGTTAGAAATGCAGAGTCCCAGGTCCTGCCTCAGGCCTCAGAATCGGCATTTGTATTTTAACAAGATTCCCAGGCGATCGTAAGCACATTTAAGACTGAGAACCCGTGCTCTACTAGACCTAGACGAGCTCCTCAAGGGTTGGGACCTTGTTCATCTTAAATCCTTTTTCAGGCACAGGGCCCACATGTAGCAGGTTAAATCTAGATAAATGTCAGAACCCCAAGGGGATGAGTAAAACAGGTTTAGAAACAAGGGAAACTGTAGAGAGATCTTCCCAGTGATGTGTAAGGGGGAGGGCAAGGTTGGGGAGGTAGGTTACAAAACATATTTTTCCTGGAGAGTCCTATTTCAGCAAAAGACACCATCAAGGTCTATTCCATCTTCTTTGGGTGTGCGCCCCTTTCTAAGTTACCTCTGCCTGCCTGTGCAAGAGATGTCAAGGACAGCTGCTTGGTGCCAAAGCGTAGGAATTTGGGAATTTCCATTACTCCTGCCTTCACAGTCCCAAGCTTGAGATGTGAGAATCAGGATAATAATAAGAATAAGAATAAGAATAAGAATAAGAATAAGAATAAGAATAAGAATAAGAATAATACTTCTGTTTAACACTTACTGAGGGCTATGCATCAGATATTGTGCTAGGCACTTCACATATCATTTAATCTTCAAACAACTCCATGAGGTAGATAAGTATCATCTGCATTTTACAGATGAGGAAATTGAGGAACAGAAATATTCAGTAGCTTGTTCAAGGTCCCACACTAGTTTAGTAGAGCTGGGATTTGAAGTAGGCAATCTGGCCTCACGGTTCATGCACTTAACCTTAGGTAGTGGTGTACCTATTTTATAGATAGGGAGAGTGATGTGAAATAACTTGTCCGAGGTGCACAGCTGGTAGGCTAGTATTAGGACCATATTTAGACCCTAGTCTGGTTCAAGCGCCTGAGCTCTTAACCAGTGAGACTAGGGTAGAGCCCCCAGGGTTGTGCCGATTAGAGTTCCAGAAGTCCAGGTCGCCAGCACCCCCCCACCCCCACACACACCCCTCCCCGCCCCCCGCGTACCCCCTACCCCCTGGCCTGGCTGTACTCGGCCACCCAGCGCGCCGTGGGTATGAGGCCTCCTACCTCCAACATTGGGAAATGGAGGTCCTGGGGGCCTCGGGTCGAGCCCGGCTTTGCTCCCCGCTGGCGTAGGTGCTTGCGTCCTGACCCCTACAGAAGGCCAGGTGTGGAACCCTCCCTGGGGCCCAGGTACCCGTCCTCCCGCAGGCCTAGCCCGCCCCCGGCTTGTCCACTCCACGCCCCTACATCCTCCGGATGCCCGGCGGTTGCTAGGACACCGCGGGCCGTTAGCCGGCGCTGAATGATGACGCAACCACTGCTTCCGGTTCTTGGCGCTTTCCTGCTGCTCAAGCCAGGTCAGTGGGGGAGCTCGGCTGGCCTACCCGGGTCTGCACGCCGAGGCCGGGGGTGGACTCTGCAAGGGATGGGCCGAGCCCCGCACTCCCCGGCCCTGCCTTCGCGGCGAGCGGGCGTGAGAGCCGGGGCCGCCCAAAGGTGGGCTGGTGGTGGAGGGAGCGGGCTGGTAGTCGCTGCGTGGCCTCGGCCTTAAGACACCCGATCCCAGCTTTCTTGGAGATGGTATCGCCAGGACCTGTTTTCTCTCGATTCCGAGACTTGGGCCCGAGCTCTCCACACCAGTACTTCAGGGTCGTCTGGACTGTGTCCGACCCGCGACCCTGCCGTTCTTTTCCTTCCAGCATGACCCGCTGGGCCCCCAGCGCGGCGCCCGGAAGAGCCCACTCAACCTGGACGAGCCCTTTGGCACCTCAGGCCGCCCCGGAGGAGGATGACTGAGACACTATGGGCCACGCGCTGTGTATCTGCTCTCCGGGAATTGTCATCATTGACAATAAGCGCTACCTCTTCATCCAGAAACTGGGGGAGGGGTGAGTGTTTGGAAATGATTCGTCCCCAGGGTTAAGATGATTGAAAGACAGCAGTCTGCACATGATTAGGGGCACCAAGGTTTTATTCTGTAGCCTATCCTTTAATTCACCCGACAGAGCCTAGTAACAGGCTAGTCAAGACAGTGGACTCTGGAGCCAGGCCTCCTGAATGACCTGTGTGACCTTGATAAGCCATGGTTTCTTCATCTGCTCAATGGAGATAATTACTATCTTGTGTCACTGATGGAGCTGTGAGGATTAAATACGATAGTGCATATAAAATGTCTTGCCAGTGCCAGGTTCGCAGCACCTAAATGTTGACTATTCATTTAATGTTCATTGAGCATCTGTCCTGTGCCGAACACTGGGTTAAGACCACAGGACCTCAAAGATTACTGTGTCCCAGCTCTTGAGCTCAAAGTGTAATAATCTTCAAACTTCTCTTAGAGTCACATCTTGGGAGGGTTTCTACTAACTGGGAAAGACATCCCCATTCTCCCCAGGGAGTTCCTCTGGGTCCAAGCAGTGTGGGAGATGACCGTGGTCCTTCACTGACCCTTTTGGCCCACAGTGGGTTCAGCTATGTGGACCTTGTGGAGGGGTTACATGATGGACACTTCTACGCACTGAAGCGAATCCTGTGTCACGAGCAGCAGGATGTGGAGGAGGCCCAGCGAGAAGCAGATATGCATCACCTCTTCGATCACCCCAACATCCTTCACCTCGTGGCTTATTGTCTGAAGGAGCGGGGCACAAAACATGAGGCCTGGCTGCTACTACCTTACTTGAAGGTCAGAAAGTCTCCTGGCTATGGAGGGGTTGCAACAGGGCCACCAACCAAGAGCTGTGTGAGCAGTCAAGTATGTTAGGAATCAGAGGCTATGTCTTGGGTTTGACCACTTCAAATTTGGAGTTTAGAGGAATCCAAATGGGACTGTAGGGTGTGGTTGTGTGGTGAAAAGGTTGGTAACTTTTAACCTAGGGAAGGGATCAGACTCAGGGAACAGAAGCTGAAAAACCAACTGTGGGGATATTTGTGTTGCAGAGGGGTACGCTGTGGAATGAGATAGAAAGGCTGAAAGACAAAGGCAACTTCTTGACTGAAGATGAAATCCTTCAGCTGTTGCTGGGCATCTGCAGAGGCCTTGAAGCCATTCATGCCCAGGGTTATGCCCACAGGTCAGTAGGAGCGCCCTGTGTACTTTCTGGGACAGAAAGAGCCCCACTAAGAGAAATGAGAGGTCTGAGCTCTCCCCCTAAGGAACACCCCATGATTCTTATGCCTCCCTGGGATTCTAGCCTTCCTGACCAGAGATGCTCATGGGTCATTTCCACTTCCCGACAGGGATCTGAAGCCCACCAATATCTTGCTTGGAGATGAGGGGCAGCCGGTTTTAATGGACTTGGGTTCCATGAAGCAAGCACGCATCCATGTGGAGAGCTCCCGCCAAGCTCTGGCCCTGCAGGTAAGAGTCTGCAGGTTCTTTTGCCCACCTGTTTCCAATCCTTGACCGCTTCTGGTGCATTCCCCAATTTGGTCACATGACCATGCCCTGTGCCCCACTTTTGAGCTCTGGGGCCACTGTTCCAGGACTGGGCAGCCCAGCGGTGCACCATTTCCTACCGGGCCCCGGAGCTTTTCTCTGTGCAGAGCCACTGTGTCATCGATGAGCGGACTGATGTTTGGGTGAGGAGCATGCGGGTGGGAATCTGGGGGGAGAGGAGCTGCTCTGTACCTCCTGTGGAGTAGAGGAGCAGGAGTTTGGTTTCCAGTGCATGGGGCCCCAGGAACCATGTATGTCCCCATCCCCCTCAACTTCCTTCCTGAGAACTGTCACCAACACTGTACTCAATAACTGTACTCAGGAAGTGGTAAAACCCTGCCCTTTGAACAGGGTTGGTACAGCTAAGAGTCACAGCTGAAGGCAGTAGCTAAGCAAGGGTTGCAGAGGCCTCCAGCTAACTGGCAGTTTCTCTGTCATGTGGCTGACATTAGCATAGTCCTTTTAGTTTATGTAGTCTCCTTTCACTACAGAATTAAGAGGAGAGTTACCATCTCCATTGGTCCCCTTTTATGGAATAACCAAGTTATGCTCAGTCCCTAGGCTGTGTGCTATATGCTATGATGTTTGGGGAAGGCCCTTATGACATGGTGTTCCAGAAGGGTGACAGTGTGGCCCTGGCTGTACAGAACCAACTCAGCATCCCACAAAGCCCCAGGTGAGTGATGAAGGGGCACCAAGCACTTCAGACTCTCCTTGACATTGGAGCCTCGGCCCGGCGGATGGGTGCCCCTCAGTCACCCTGCCTTCCTCCCTCCACAGGCATTCTTCAGCATTGCGGCAGCTGCTGGCCTCGATGATGACTGTGGACCCCCTGCAGCGCCCTTATATTCCATTCCTCCTCAGTCAGTTGGAAGCACTGCAACCCCCAGCTCCAGGCCAGCACACTACCCAAATCTGAACAAACCAGTGGCCACGCTGAGGTGGCCCGTGCCTTGTCCTTCACTGGAATCTCCGTCCTTTCTATCTAGGCCTGCTCTCTCATAGCTGGGGCAGGGGGCTGGGGAGAGTCAGCTCAGTCTTCTATCTGTTCTCTTACCCTCAGGACAACTGGACAGGGCGCCTGAGTTGGGGTGGGTGGGGGATGGAGAAAGGCAAACTGATAGATTCTGGTAAAGGATCTGAGCAGGACTGCCAAGCTTACATCATGGTCTGCTTCCAAATCGGGGAGCAGGAGAGTGTATAAATAGAATAATAAAGTGAAAGCAGCTTGGTGTGGATCTTGGTCTCATTGTTCCTGGAGAGGAGATATAAGGGGCCCAAAGTCTGGCCATTTCCAAGAACAGCCTGGGGAAAAGCGGGACTGGTGTTGCGTCAGGAGGCATGATTGGCAATGGCTTCTAGCTTGACTAGGTTAAAAACTTAAAAGTTGCTCTGGCTTGAGCAGGCTTCTATGCCAAGAACTGGAACCAGGGTCCCTTAAACGCACATTCAACTCATTCTTTCCTTCCTTCATTCCCAGGGGTGGATAGCTTAGAGCAGCCCAGCTGGTTTGCCAGGCAAGGGCTTCTGGGTGGAGACATCCCAGGAAGCTTGACTGCTAGATAACAGGTCTCAGCCTCAGCCTGGGGGCAAAGGGAGTGGAGGAGGCAGCCATGTTGGCCCACAGTCTCTCCCAGATGGTTTTAGCTCACACATGGTTAATGATTAATGAGGCCAGTGTGGCGTGGCAGTATCCAACTGCACTTCCTGCCTACTCTGCTGAGTAAACAGGGGCCCTGCCTTGCTGGGCTTGAAACCTGTTCCCCAGGGAAGGGCACTGTGTCCCTGAGTCACAGGGAGGGGAGGCAAGGGCAGGGTTGGCATCACTTGCTGCTGAGATTGAAGCTTCTTTCCCCCAACCCTGCCCACCCCCACATGCTGACGTCAGTGTGGGTCCTGGGGTGCCTATTAGCAAAGTTGAAATTTTCCCCAGGGCCCTGGCAAGAGGCTCCCACCAGCTAGCAGAGGAACCGAGGCCAGAAAGAAAGCACAAACAGGGGAGATGACCTGACTTTTAATAGCACAGCCCTAGCCCCCAGCAAAGCAGCAAGACAGTAAGCTATGCAAAGCTGTTTATGCAGTGACATAAACAACTCTAGGAGACGGCCCTGTTCCCTCCCATCCCCCAAGCTTATGACTGGGCTCCGTGCCAAGGAACTTTGGGCCAGCTCAGCCCCACTCCCAAGCCCTCGTAACACAGAGGTGCCTGGGCCAAGCCTTGCTTCCAGAGTCAGTGAATGCAGAAGCAGCAGGAAGAACAGGTCTAGTCCAACTCAAATACAGAAACTTTTGGACTTAAAACTCCTACTTGGAAAAGAAGTGAAGACTCATATCCTTCAATAGGCTGTGGCTGGACAGACTGGTCCAGGATTCAGTCCTCATTTCCTCCCTATCCTGTGTACCCCTTAGGATCCTACATCAAGGTCCCTGGGGTCATGTTTCCTGAGTCTGGCAAGGGATCCTTGGCAGGTCTCACCTTCAGCCATGGAAGGGAAAAGGGTCATGAGCAGCAAATAGGGCAGAAGCAGCAGCAGCAGCAGCACAAAGGAAGGCAGCAGAAGCTCAAGTACTCACATCACAGAGGGAACAAGAAATCGTGCAAGGAGACTGTTTATTTCGAAAGGATTTTGCAATGAACATAGTGAGTGGGCTCCAGGCAGCTGGTCTATTCTTCTCCCTCATCCTCGTCCTCATAGGAGTCGATGCCAACTTCCTCATAATCCTTCTCCAGGGCAGCCATATCCTCCCGGGCCTCAGAGAACTCACCCTCCTCCATGCCCTCACCCACATACCAGTGCACAAATGCCCTCTTAGCATAC